AGATTGAAAGAGTTGATGTTCTTTTGGGGTTTCTCTTTTCTGATGGATTTCGAACAGGACTCCTCTCTTAGAATCGGTGAAGTTTCCGAACAAGGTTCCTCTGTCTTGGCGTCCATGGAGTTTAGGGATGTGAGTTCGAAGGGAAAGGATAAAAATCTAAAGGGGTGTTTGTTGAGTTTAAAACAAGTAATTTTCTATATAAAATAATTTATAAAAGGGTAAAATTGGTATTTAAAAAAATTGGTGCATCAATTTAACATTGGATTAGTGATAGAAGGGAGGTTTTTGTTGAATTTTTCAAAAGTTTAGAGGAGGTATTTGTTATAATCAAACCATAGGGGAGGTTTTTATTATTATCAAAAACTTCAGGGGAGATTTTTGTATTTTACCCTTTATAAAAAAAATAAACAACAACAAAACAATGTAGACTTCAGAAAATTTAGAAGGAACGTCATTTTTATGCTTTTGGGAGAATGTACATTTTCCATTACCATTGGTATGAATGGTAACCATATCAAAATTCACGATATGGTTTTGATTGGTCAAAGTTATTCTGTTATCATGTCAGCAACATATAATAAAATGATAATTTTCAATAAATGATATATTTTCCTTCATATCATATAGCAACCAAATAGAGCTATAATTAGGGGTGTCAATTGGACTGGATTTGGTACAACCCGATATGGTCCAATATGAATTCATTATTGATGGACCAGGTCTAATCCATTCTAATGAATATTTTTGGACCATTTTGGATTGGTCCAATTCAATGTCTAGGCCATCCATTCTATTCAAATTAGTTTTAATTTAGATTGGTTCCGATGCAACCATGGTTCATGACAGGGGCAGAACCAAGGGTGGCAGAGGGGGGCCATGGCCCCCCTATGCCTTGAAAATCCCTACAATGCTCATTTTAACTTTACCTATATTTGCTAAATTTTTGCCCCCTATCCGTGTTCATTACATTTCGGCCCCCCTCAAAAGAAAATCCTATCTCTGCCCCTGGTTCATTAACACCCGTATTCTTATTTTCTATCAATTGACAAAATATTGATTCAATCTGACCCAATCCAATAGAAACCCATTGTAGGTGGCCGGATCCAATCCAATCCAATAAATACTTTGGACCATTAAATTTACATTGGCCCAATTCAATATGTCTTATTAATAAGAATGGCAATGGGGCACGGGGCCGGGTTTTGCATACCCCTTCCCTGACCCCGAACTTAAATGCCCCTACCCCAGCCCCGCCCCGAATCCCATCAGGGATAGAAATCTCAACCCCATCCCTGTCCCCGCGGGGAACGAGAATCCTTGATTTTGCCTACCCCACCCTATTGAACCAACACGAATAAGAAATAATTAAATACAGAATAACTATGAAAAATAATTAATTATTAATTATTAATGTAATTAAATTAATAAAAAATAATTACTCACTATTAAAAAATAATAAAATGATTAAAATTTAATTGTCTACCTGTCGGAGCCAAACAATGAGTTTAGCAGAAATAGTAACTATCATGGGCCCAAAGGTTGCATGAACACCTCCAGGAATGCCATGGAGATGAAGAAGGCAGAAGCTGGAGCTAAGGTCCAAAATTTTACAGAATGGGCTCTAAAATGTATAGACTTCTACTCCCGTTGTCAAGGAAACAAGGCTAGAGTAAAATCAAAGTTCAGTTGTTGAGATCCAACTCTAGTTGTCAGCATTCAAAACATTTCTAGATCTTGCTGGTAACCAACCAGCTTAGAGGAAAGGATTTCACAGAAGCTTTTGATGTGGAATGCTTTTCCCCTCAATCTCTTCTCTTAGCTCATCTGACCCTGGTTGGGCATCTGGTATTTCTACTACTGCAATTCAGGGGTTGCTGGGAATGGTGGTAGAAGGTGGTGCGGACAATGTCAACCAGTGTTTTCTTGAAGCATCACGTTTTGGGAGCACCAAGCTTGTCCGTATCTTATTGCAGATAGCTCAAAGGAACAACTTAGATGTGGATGACCCATAGAGTAGGAATAGCACCTACTCTATGCAACTCATTGACAGACACAGTGAACCTGAACTTGATGACCAGTGATCCACTTGGATTTCTATTAAGTGCACACAGACACACTGCTAATCATCTCAAAATATCCTATAAAATAACAATTTTGTGTAATATGGCATGACTACTAAAGCAACAACATTCTTTTGGTTAATGATACAGTGATATCATTAACGAATATCCCATGGACTGATTCAGCCATATCCCATGCATTTTTCTGTTATTACTGGTAAAAACTATACAGTGACATCTCATTAGTTGATAGGTTCATTCAATTCTGCTGGCAAAACTTATGTTCACCCCAAAATTTACCAAAAACCGTATCATTAATAAATAACATACACCTTATCTCTGATTCTAACATGCCAACAACTGGTTCCCCAAACTAACACCATTCATTTACTCATCCCCGGAGAGCTCGGGACACTCAACAAGACCCAATAAAAAGCAATACTACTTCAATGAATAGGCCAAAAGTAAAATGTTATAAGTAGAAGCGAGGTGGTATAACACAGTTAACAAGTTCTTTGAAAAAGCCCCATTCCCTCCCTATACAATGAGTAAAGTAACCCGATAATACAAACTGCGTGACCAAAGAACACTGGAACAGGGAGTTCTTTCCCTAAAAAAATATGCAATTCTGCGATTAAACTAGTTTCAACGAGATGATTTTGAAGATACCCAATTGTCTTCCGCCAACATACTTCAAGGAATCTAAAGATGGGTTGTTCCCCATATTCAATAAATTGAAGAAAACTACAGAAAATCAAAAGAAAAAAAAAAAAAACTCCAAAGAAAACGAATCTAGGTCAGTTCTTCTCCCCAACATACATTTGGTTAATGATAAATCTTACAGAGAATCTGGGTAAAGCAAATCAAACGAAAATCATTCCTATTTATCCATATAACACAAAGAAAATGAATCCGAATGGTTGAATAACATAAATCTGAATGGTTGAGTAGCATAAAACATTCCTGTTTATCCAACAAGCATGGTAATAAAAAAGAAAAAAACTGAAGATTGCGAGGGTTTTTGAGGGAGCTTCTTCAGATTCGGTTCGAAGAGAAGGTTCTTCAGTTTGAAGTAAGAAGAGAGCATATTCGGTTCGAAGTGGAAGTTTACAGAGAAATGGTGGTGGAGCTTGCTCGCAGAGAGGATGGTGGTGAGCTTCTTCTCAGCTCAAAAATAGGGTGAATGACCTAATTTTTTGGGTTTTATTTGAAGGACACATTTAAATTTTTATGAGGATAATGTCGTCTTTTACCGAGGTCTGAATAGCCTTTGAGCGCATTAAGCACTCGCGCACTCGCTCAACCACTTTAATTTTAAGATCTGAAAATGCATTTCAGACCTAATATTAAGAGGCACACCCAAACGGCTGTGGCGTCTGAAAAGCAACTATTTCAGACTTCAGACGTCTGAATAGTGCAGTCAAACGCCACCTTAATAAAACATACGGTTTTAAAGATGTTAGGATCGCCAAGATTTTGTTCCTGCAGAAAACTCCTTTACATTCAACCGGGCCTAGGTCCTTTGTCCTTGGGCCGAGGCCCTTCAAGTTTTAACAACCAATCCAGGCCTCTGCCCAAATTGAACTTGCACCCCTACCTAGGCTAGATGTCGAGGAACAAGGATATTGAAGTAAAGCTGCTTACTGCTGTAGTGTTGTGTATGGAGATTTCTTGTAAGGCCCCATTTGGGAGGGCTTCTGCATTGTGCTTGAGCCGCTGGCCGGCTACATAGAAGCAGCTTTGGTTGAGCGGATGTGTTCTGGGTAAGCTACTCAGAATAGTTTCATGTGACAATCGAAAAATGGGCTCAAAGAGAGTTGATTCCAGTTTTTCTGGTTTTCACGAAACATAACTTTTGGGCTTTCCATATAGGGCCCACCTCAGAACACCAGAAGCCGCTGCCCAAAAGCCTACCCAAACAGGCATTAATATCCATTTCCTCTTTCAGCTTTAGCGTGGTGCTTAATGCCACACCAAATATAAAGGAGGAAGAGATGGCTTCGGAATTTGGAGGCTACTGCCACCGAGTGAAGTGATGGCAATCATAATAATGCTACAGAAAATATCAAGCCTTAGGGAGCTTCCCACCAATTTTCAAAACAAAAGGTGATATGAACGAATTTCTATTGTCCATATAAAGTCCTTATAATGTCGATCTGCATCTGTACTTCAGTACATATCAGTCCAAATCAATGCATAACGGTGGAATCCTTCTGAGGTATCGAGATTCCACTTCTGTATCATACCGCCCGTTTCAAAATAAATGCATATTGGTAATATACATGGATACTTCCATTTCCATGGATCAAATGTGTCCCACCACAGAACCAAGAATGGCGCTTCCTTAATCTGAACAGGGTTAATTAAGTGTCGCGAGTTGATAAAAAGGGTGCTTTGTGGATTAGGCAATGGATGGAATTTCGATGTGCTTGATGACCCTTGGTGTTGCAATGAAATTTTTAAGGGAGCTTGCTTTGAGCTAACCAAATCAGCAGAGGCTAGCTCATTTCATTGATCAATCTAGTATGACTTGGCATGCTGAGTCTGCCAACTCCGGACATAATGGGACGAAAATGAAGATGAAGTTGGTTGGGTTCTTAATAACTACATTGCCACAATTGGATACTGTCACCTATCCACTCTGCCATCACTCTAGTGACTCGTTATTGCACATTATTATCCTCTGGCACGATGGTTTTGATGAATGAATTTACCATCGAGTTGCTTTCAAACATAAACATTGAAAGTACCAAAGAGGGGAGCAGTGACAAGTAGGTGGGATTTACGTTTAGCTAAAAGGCAAATGGCAAATTCATCTTTAGACCTGAGGGCTTGGAAAAGTTTAAATTCAGGGATCATGTTGAATTTGGGAGTACTTTCTGTTCCGGGGACCAATTTTATTTAACTGATGCACCAATTTCTCTATCCGGGAGAAAGATATTTTAATACCAATCATTGCCATCTCATACCATTCATTTTTCTCATGAAAACATCATGCAGAGATTCTCTAAGACAAGTCATAGAGAACAAATAGTTAAAAGTACACTAGATAGAATGTAAGCAGTGCAAATGTTCTTAAGCTCAACTTTCAGACATATTAAAGGAGGCTTCCTAAAAGCATCACTTAAGCAGAAGATAAAATATTGTTGGACAACCATTACTCCGTATCTCAAAGTTGAAGAAGATACTTCATCAAAGTTCAAACTTCAGATAATCTATGTAAGATGGTTAAAAGATGCTTGATCAAGTTCAGACTTCAGATAACCTCTTAGTAGGGAATCATTCAACACTGGATCCTGACCATGACATAAAGTTGAAGCACAATGCTCAAGGGCCCTATCCAAGTTGAGAACAAAATATTAATAGGATAAAAGGTACCAACATGAATAATAAGGTACCAACATGAATATTAATAGGATAAAAGGTACCAACATGCTCAAGGGCCCTATCCAAGTACAATGATGAGAACAAAACACTAATATTACGAAATTTGCATAGTATGCAATAATTTCAAGCAAGGTACCAACATGAATAATAAGGCAACAAAAAGAGCTCAGTAATCATAGAGAAGCAAGAAATACCTCAGCGAGAGAGCATTACAAGGGTGGAAGATAGATAAATGGAGAAGAACATTACAAGGTGGAAATGAAGGGTTTTGTGTGGTTTGGTCATGATTTCGTCATGGCTTGGAAATCTTCTGCTTCAAGTTGCCCTTTATGGCTGTTTTGTGGTATTTTGCAACTGTTTTATTTTCAAATTGAGTGGTTAGTTTTTGTTTTTTGTTTTTTTTATATGTTCTGGTGTTTCCAGTCTTGTTTTGTCTCTCTTTTTGGTTTTCCTTTTGTATATAGCTGCGTGCTCTTTTCTCATTTATAATAAATAAATAAATGATTAAATGATTAGAAGAAAAGGTTAAGCTCTAGAAAAAGTCTTAATTGATATTACCTCTTTGCCTGTTGGTATATTGAGAAGAAGTGGTGCTTTACCATCAATTTATGGGTAATACAATTGGTTTCAACAATCTTTTGCAAAGAAGTGATAGAAAAATCTATATTAAATTCAATAACTACAAACTCTTCAGTGCCTATTATAAAGAAACTTGTTATCGAAGTTCTTCCCATTAATGGGTTACAAAATTCTAAAACTAGTTTATAAGAACGTAGTTTCTTTGGTGCCCAACTAAGTCAAGTGAATCCTTATGTATTAGAGTCATTGCATTCAAAGGCAATAATAAACATGTTCTTCTAGGGAATAATCTGGGAATTGCAAGGTTACCTATAATTGAACATGGATCACGTAATTTGAAAATGCTTAGTGTTTCCATTGGTTTCAGTATCAATGTGTGGAAAATACTGATTTCCTTTAAGGCTGTGAATCCCAGGACATGGTTTAAAATGTCCATCTATTTCCTTATATTTTGACAACATATTTCTATTTCCATGCATACTGACACAAAATATTACTGGAATCAACATATTCCCTGACGAAAACTACGGACACTATGAGTACAAGAGATGGTATTATAAAGTTGGCAGCAACATTGTAGATAATGTGAATTAGCAATATTACTGTCCATCTAATGGACATGATTACCACTTTAATCCAGCTTAAACTCTTTTTCAAACATGAAGTTACATCTTAGTTTTTGTCTGTGCAATAGATATTTGATTGATTATTAGAATCATTTGCACTTTCTATGAGTTTAAATATTTCTTTGGAATTTATTATTGAGAAAAGGTATAACATCCACATGAATGGATGGGACTCTAGTTGTCAATCTAGAGTGCTCTTATAAATCTATACATGCAAATATTACTGAATGTGGAATTTTCTGGGTGTTATCCTACCTCCCAAGGAGTTGCATTGACATGTGCTTGTGTCAAAACATATTAACAAGGGAAAAAACTTAGAAAATGAAGTGCTAACTATAAGTTCCCATGAATGTGCTACTCATATTGTTTTGACTCAACCACCACATCCTCATTTTTGCTGTTTGCTGTGTCAGCTAATGGATCCACTGTTTCTTCATTTCTGAACATTCCACTCCATAAAGTAGGATTATAATATATCATTAAAAAAATTGTTCAGTTTCACTCATATTCAGAAGTCACAGAACAAACCAGAAGTGTATCCCCGCTTCAGTGATCTACCTCCAATCTATGGACACATCCACCTTAATCCCTACACTTATTCCTTACAGAAGATTGAACAAAGGTAATGAACATATTCACTCTTAAGAAAAATATGAATCAATTCTACCACCCATTTACATCTTTTACTAATAGCATACACACACAAGCCCCTGACAAAGTGGATAAATAATTTTATCATGCATGCTATTATGACAAAGAATATAAAGTAAAATTAGCTTCAAGGCTACACCACAGAAACAACATATCCAAATGATGACACTAAACCTGATTTATCCACTAGTGCCTCCTAAACAGATATTATTAATACATGACAAACAACAATATAGCTGGAGATGACGATTTCTTACTAGTTGCCACTTCTGTGTCTTTGTATCTGCTTGACCAGGAAACCTCTCTTAAGAAACAGGCTTCTCAGAAGTCACAGGCTGACTAGTAAGAGAACTATGAACCTGTCCAATGATATACAGGATTCAGATTACCAGGATGAACATTAAATTTGAATTACAATTATGTGCATGAAATCATACTCTGGCTCGAGACTCCTGTGACAAGGATTCGTTTGCAGCACTTGTAGATAGATTGGAAGGCCTGTGGAAAAGTAAGTGTGCTATAGACCGATCTATAGGGTTTGTCTCAGTTTCAATGTCCATAAACCGTGAACACCTGTACAAGTACTCACTTTATTCAATAAACTCAAGATTATATGTTCCACAAACAATGAAGAAATATCTTATCTGGTACTACCAATCTCAAAGTAACCAAACCGAATTGGCTTATTCAGTTTGGTTCGGTTCGCTTTCGGTTTGATAATCAAATTTGAACACCCCTATTTTAAAGTGCTTCATTCTGATAATGAAGTAGAGTAGGTCTCCTAACATATTTCTCTATACATGGGATAGAACATCAAACACCTTTTTTCTTTTTTTTTTTTCTTTGAAAAGGTAAGGTATTGTATTAAAAACCAAAAAGATTATAACTATAAACATTTACAACCATTGGACCTATAGATCATTTAACACGTTAACAAGAGAACAAAATATCCCTGTCAAAAAATCTATTGTAGGTCAATCCTCTAGAGTCCTTGTAGACTGATAATCATGAGCAGAGCATTCCTTTAATTCTGTTCAGCAAAATGTTCCTTGTCATGTTTTAAATTTATTTGTCTAGTAAGACTGCAATCAGTCCTAGTTTTAATGTAAAATATACAAGAAAGAAAGCTGAGAATAAATGAAGAAGAGAAGAAGAGGAGAAGGAGAAGAGAGAATACGAAGAGGAGAAAATCAAAGAAGAGTGTGGGTCATAACTAAGATTGTCACCCCACTCAACTATTTATATTAATGGTTTCAAACAGGGGAAAAACCAGAATTACCCCTACTGCTTACATAAGCTAAAAGATGACAGAAAATAACTACCAACTACCAACTAAGCAACAGAAAATAACTACATCTCTACACTCCCCCTCAAGTTGGGAATAGATATTAGTCATTCCCAACTTGCATAAGTCTGTCTCCAACTTTGTCTTTGTAATTGCCTTAGTGAAGAGATCTACAAGTTGCATGCTGGAGGTGATATATGGAAGGCACACTTCTTGGGAAGCAACTCTCTCTCTAATAAAGTGGCGAACTGTCGATCCACTTCAATATGCTTAGTACTGTCATGTTGTACCGGATTATGAACAATGTTAATAGAAGCCTAATTATCACAATACAGCATCAAGGGCTTCTCATAAGCAATACCCAACTCCTCAAATAGGGATTTCAACCATAACACTTCAGCCACACCATTCGCCATAGACCTATATTCAGCTTCAGCACTGGAGCGAGTAACAACATTTTGTTTCTTCTCCAAGAAACAAGGTTTCCTCCTACAAAAGCACAATACCCAGAGGTAGACCTCCTATCATCAACACACCCAGCCCAATTAGCATCTGTGTAAGCTTCTATTTTCATGTTACCATTATCTTTGAAGAGTATACCTCTACCTGGACATCTCATCAAATAAGCCAGTATCCTCTCAACTACAAGTAGGTGAATGGTTCTGGGGGAATGCATATACTGGCTAACAACACTGACTACATAAGAAATGTCTGGTCATGTGAGGCAATGGTAGAGAAGTTTCCCAACCAACCGTTGAAACATAACTTTGTCTTCAATAGGCTCTCCACCTTCTACACTGATCTTATGATTTTGTCCAATAGGTGTGTCAGTAGGTTTAACACCTAGCTTCCCAGTTTCTTCCAAAAGATCAAGAACATAGCTCTCTCAAAGCTTCCCAATTCCTTTGGGAAACAAAAATCCCATGTTTAGGCTGTGCTACCTCAATACCCAAGAAATAACATAGCTCTCCCAAGTCTTTGACCTCAAATTCTTGGTGAAGGAGTTGCTTAAGAGAGTCAATCAATTGGTATCACTCCCTGTCACCACAATATCATCCACATATACAGTAAGTAGGGTTAAGGAGGAATCCACTTTCTTAATAAAAAGGGTGTGATTTGATTGGGCTTGCACATAACCGAATTTTTCAAAAGCCTATCTAAATCTATCAAACCAAGCTCTACGAGACTATTTCAGTCCATATAAGGCCTTATTAAACTGCTAGACCTTCTTTCATGCTTCTGCACTATAGAACCCAGGAGGTAACTGCATGTACACCTCTTCTTGCAAATCACCATTGAGGAATGCAGCATTTTTTACATCCATCTGAAACAATGGCCACAAGAAATTGGCTACAAGAGATAGTAAGACTTTGATAGTGTTCATCTTTGCTACTGGTGCAAATGTCTCCAAGTAGTCTATGCCATATGTTTGTGTAAACCCCTTAGAAACTAATTTGGCCTTATATCTTTCAATGGAACCATCAACATTATGTTTCACTGTAAACACCCATCTACACCCAACCAGTTTCTTCCCTTAAGGATGATCAACTAACTCCCATGTATTGTTCTTTAGAAGATAATCCATTTCTACCTTCATTGCATCCTTCAACTTAGGTACTGACAAGGCTTCCTGTACTGTTCTAGGAATGGAAATAGCAGCAATGGATGCCAAGAAAGACTTGTAGGATGGAGACAACTGGTCATAAGACAGAAACTAGGAAATACAATGAGCTGTAGATCAAGATCATCCAATGGAGGAGAAGGCTCAACAATGGAAGGTATTTCATCTATAGTGAAAGACAAAGGAATTGGGGTACCTGGATCTGGATCCGTAGAGGGAATTGGAGTTGGCCTGGACTACTAATGATCGAAATCAACCTTCCTCCACCGCCTGTGATATACCCTCAAATCCCAACACCTTTGACACCCCTCCTCACTGCATTCCTCTTCAGTGATTAGGAGAGGTAATGGAATTTCTGATGAATGAAACCCCACCTTACTGCTCTCCCCCTGAGAAGAAACTCTAGGATAATAGAGTACATCCTCAAAGAAAGTGACATCCATAGAAACAAATCGTTTCCCTGAAGTAGGTTCATAGCAACAACATCCCTTTTGAGTTTGTGCATACCCAAGAAAAATGCATTTTGAAGCTTTATGATCAAATTTGGAACGATGAGGTTCAAGAATTTGAACGAAGCAAGTACATCCAAAAGTCGGGGAATAGTAAACAACTCCTTATCAGGATATAATAGGGTGAATGGAACTTTCATGTCTAGAACCCGTGAAGGAATTCGGTTGATGAGATACACAACTGTATGAATAGCATCTCCCCAGAAAGGTATATGTACGTAGGAGTTAAGCATAATGCTTCTAGCCACCTCCAATATATGCCTATTCTTCCTCTCAACAACCCCATTTTGCTGAGGTGTATGGGGACAGGTGCTCTAGTGGATAATTCCATGGTCAAGGAAATATGAAGCCAATGGTTTTGCAAAATACTCTTTAGCATTATCAAATCTGAAAATTTTGATTTCGACCCCAAACTGGGTCGAAACCATCTGATGGAAGATCCAGGTCAAGGTAGGAACCTCATCTCGAGAACACATAAGGTAAACCCATGAAAAACGAGTATAGTCATCAACAAACAACAAGAAATATCTGTATCCCCCCATAGCAGTGATGTGGTATGGTCCCCAAACATCAGTATGCACAATTTCATAAGAAGTACTACTTTTATTGCTCAAAGGATAGGTTGTTCTACAATGCTTTGCAAGTTCACAACTTTCACATTTCAAACTGGACATCTGGGTTGACTCAAACAAACTCTTCAAAGAAATAAATGATAAATGACCTAAATGATTATGCCAAAGCATAACCTGACTCACAGGCTGAAAAACAAAAGACCTCCCAACTTCTCTATCTTCCCCATGTGAGCTCTCCCTCCAAGTAGGTAGATTCCATTCGTCTCACGACCAATACCAATCACCTTCCTTGTCTCCAGATCCTGAAAAACACATCGATCAAGAAAGGTCATTGAACAATTTTGGTTTTTAGTGATGCTACTAACTGAAAGCAAGTTAGTACTAAGTTTAGGAACATGCAAAACTAAGGACAAGGAGATGGAATTAAACAATTTAATGTCTCCCTTGCCACAATTAGGAACAAGGGAGCCATTAGCAATAGACACTTTGTCTCTGCCAGAGGATAAATAATAAGTAGTAAACAGTGAGGACAAGCCAATCATATGGTTGGATGCATTTGAATCTATATCACCCAACAAGGTTCAGTGTTACCTAGGGCTAAGGCATGATATGCTGAAGCCCGTGTACGGTGTACTTGAATGAGAAAATGCTGAAGTGGGAGTAGCAGATGTTGTAACTAGTGGATGAGATAAGGATGTTGAATTGCCAACTTCACTCTCTAACTGAGTCAGAGCAGCTCAGACAACAGCTAAGGTGTCTAGGGATGTGGCTCTTGTGCTGGATGAAGGTGCACCATCAGTAGTGATAGCCACATTGGCATTCCCCTTTTTGTTTTTGAGCTTTACTGGAACTAGATGTGGATGTAACTTTCAACAAGTGTCTTTGGTATGCTTTGGTTTCTTGTAATGTTCACACACTAGCTCCCTCTTATCCTCCTTCATATCCCTCTCCTTGTCACCCCCAATCTTTGGTTTCACTGCTGCTAAGGCTAATTCCAATGGTTGATGTTGCAACATAACCTTTCTCCTACTTTTTTCACTGTGCACTAAAGAGTAGGCTTGTGAAAAGGTCACACTTTCTCTAGTGAGGAGTTATTGTCTCACAAATATCATATTCTGAATTCAAACCGGCTAAGAATTCAAAGACCCTATTGGTTTCAACCTGGTTTCTGTAGGTTTGTGCATCCCTCTGACTTTCCCACTCAATTGTCTCTAAGTGATCAATTTCATGCCACAAGGATTTCAAAGTGGAGAAGTAAACTTAGACTGGTTTCTTTCCTTGCTTAAGATTGCTTACTTCACATTTCAGCTCATAAGCCCTAGCAACATTAAGTGGTTGAGACTAGGTTTCTTTCATGATGTCCCAAATCTCCTTAGCAGTTTTTGCCCACAAGTAATTTTGGCTAATGTAAGGCTGCATGAAGTTGCACAGCCAAGTCATAACCAAATAGTTCTCCTGAACCCATTTGGCATAGGTTGGGTCTTCCTTGGTTGGTTCCTTCACATATCCCATCACATAGCTCAGTTTTCCTCTACCCCCAATAGCCATCATGGCTGACTGAGCCCATTCCAAGTAATTTGATCCAT